CTTCCGAAAGATGGAGCGATGAACTCAAGGGACTGCCACACCAGTTGTCACACCATAAATTAATTTTATTGCCCTTTCCAATCATCCACATAGAATTCTGCAATAAGTCTTCCAAAAATTCAGCACAACCTGTCCAAACAGACGAGAAAACGTGTGATTTACGCACCGAGCCTTTCCTTAAAACTCTAGTTTTTACAATCGAAGCCCAAGTGTCTATCTCATTCATAATACACCAGCGCTGAACCAAACGATTTGCTTTGTTAAGAACACGAAGAGAGCGAATACCCAACCCTCCATCCTTACGGTCCTGACAACAAACTTTCCAAGCCACCGTAGCCATCTTTCTTTGATTAATATCACCACTCCATATAAAATTCTGACACCAAGTTTCAATTTGAGTGATCAAAATAACCGGCCAAGAGTAAATGCGGAAAGAAAAAAGCAACATACTATGAATCACCGAATTAACTAGTTGAACTCTTCCAGCTATAGAAAGTAAACTAGCTTTCCAAGCAGCTAATTTAACGCGAATTTTATCTGCAACCGATTGAAAAAAAAGCAGCTTTGGGTCTACCCTTGAAGATGGGAACCCCAAGATAAAGGAAAGGAAGAACACCCAATTTAAAACCAAGACTGCTAGCCAAAAATTCATGTCTCGCCGCAGCCATAGAACCTGCATAAATAAAGGATTTGGCCGGATTGCAGACCTGCCCAGAACATAAAGCATAACGATCCAACAGCTCCGCAATGGCTTCCAACGAAGAAGAAATACCTTGAGTAAAAAGCAAGACGTCGTCAGCGTAAAGAGTATGAGAAGGAAACACCATATTCCTGCAAGCTTTGATACATTTCAGCCTATTCGTATCAACCAAATGAGATAACCCTCGACTCAGAACATCCTCTGCAAGAAAGAAAAGAAGAGGCGACAGTGGATCGCCTTGCCTAACCCCCCTCTTGCAACCAAAAAAACCTCTAAGATCTCCATTAAAATCCACCTAAATTTTGGCCGATTCCAACACCAACTTAATCCAAGAACAGAATAAATCATTGAACCCGAACTGCTTAAGAACTTTTAACAGAAACTTCCAATTAAGGGTATCAAATGCCTTGGCAATGTTAATCTTGAGCATAACGTTACCGCAAAGAGACTTTTTGTGAATCACATTAGCCACCTCAAAAGAAAGACAAATACAATCCTTTATGCTGCGCCCGTTAATAAACCCCCGCTGCTCTTTGGAAATCAGATGAGGAAGCACTTTAGCGAGCCTATCCGCAAGAACTTTGGAGATGATTTTAAATTTGAAATTTGCCATAGAAATAGGTCGGAATTTGTCAATGCTATCCGCCTCCTTTACTTTCGGAATCAAAACCAAAGTGTTGGAATTATAATTAGGAGCCAACCACCCGTCCTTAAAAAAGTGAAGAGTAGCCTTGATAACAGCTTCTTTAATAACGCCCCAAAACGTTCGATAGAAAATAGGACCAAAGCCGTCAGGCACAGCAGCACTATCCCTATTTAAATTGAAAACGGCACTGCAAATTTCTTCAGCAGATGGGAGCGACGTTAGCAACGAATTAATTTGATCAGTCACTAACTTCGGAATAACATCCTCTACCAGCGAATTGTCCTGTAAAATAGAAAAATTGTCAAATGAATTCTCAAAGTGAGAGACTACATGGTCCGCAATCAGATTTTGATTGTTGGTGGTGACCCCATCAATTTTCATAGAGTGAATGAGATTTGACGAGTTTCTGATTTTAGTAATCCTGTGAAAATATTTCGTGTTCCGATCCCCGTGTAAGTGCCAGTTAACACGAGCTTTATCTTTCCAAAAGAGCTCCTCAATATTAAGATCCTGTTCCAACCGAGCTTGCACCACTTTCTCTTGCTGAGCCAGAACATCAGTATGGCCGTCTATGTCAATTTGATGTTGAATACTTTCCAGATCTAACTCATCCTTCTTGACATTGTCTTGCACATTTCCAAAATACTCTTTGTTCCACACCTTAAGCTTCTCCTTGAGCAATTTTAGCTTTGCTGCCAGAACGAACATCGGACAACCAACAAAATTAGTTTTCCAAGCATCTTCCACCACTTTAATGCAGTCAGGATGCGATGTCCATATTTTCATAAAACGAAAGTGAGATTTGAACTTGAACTCTTGAAAGTTAAAGTGTAATAAAATGGGGGTAATGATCAGACCGAGATTTGTTAAGAGTGGAGCAGGAAGATTGAGCACACAAACTAACCCAATCCTGATTGCAAATAACTCGATCCGACCGTTTACGAGTATGTTGCATGCCCTCTCTACCATTAGCCCAAGTAAACTTAACACCAACAATAGGCATATGGACCAAATGATTGAAATATGTCCAGTCAGTAAACTCCTCCATCGGGCCTCTCGCAGGCCTAAAAGAACCATCATACTCGTGAGCACCAAGTATAGTGTTGAAATCACCTATGAAACTCCAAGGCATTTGATAAGTGTGAAGAATATTTTGCAGAGAGCTCCATAGACTTCTGCGAGTTATGTAGCTGGTAGATGCATAAACGGTCGAGATACCAATAGAAATGCCATTAACCAACACAGAAAAAGAGACCTGTTGGTCATCTATGTGAATCACATTTGGATTGATGCTAGAATCACATAAACACCAAAGGTTTGGAAGCAAAGATTCTCTACTATTTACAGCGAAGAACTTGAGATTAAAACTACGAAGCCAAGACATAGAGAAGTGATCCCTATCCATCCACGGTTCTGAGATAAAAACGAACTGAGGTTTGTAATTCAAAACTAACCTTTTTAGCGCCAATTTTGTTGGAGAGTTGGCTAAGCCTCTCGCATTCCAAAATAAACAATTCATGGGGTATTAGACGCACTACCAGGCCTAGACCTTGTCTTGTAATTATCTCTCAAAGCATTGTTTTTCTGAATCTTTTTCTTGGATTTAGACTTCACTTTCACAAAGCCATCGTCATCTACCCCCAAGGAGTTCAAACCATTATCACCAATGCCTTGCTTTACCATCTCCTGATGGACCATGTTATTCCAAGAAGCATTGAGAAGCATCAGATCCTGTTGTAGCTCTGGATTAGTTTCAGGGACTTCTTCAACTGAATTCCTTTGAGTAATACATTCTGCATCTGCAAAATTGTTTTCCGCCTCACTGACCAAAGCCAATGTTTTATCTATGTCATCAACCACAACAATGTCATCCACTGTATTAACGACTTCCAGAATACCCGTAGGTCCACCAATGTTCACTTGGTTCTGTTTGTCTTTGTCATGGCTATTCTCTACAGCAGTATGAATCTGAGACAGATCTACCGGCTTAATAATGGTTGGCTTATGAATAGGCACCTGAACAAAGATGTGTTTCTTAGAATTATTTGGCTTACCATTATCTGCTTCGTCTACTGCTTTTTGTTTCTGTGCACCAGATTCACCTTCGTCTCCACGATGTTTACAATTTTCCAAAGAGTGACCAATACTATTGCAGTGTTTACAGAACTCCGGAAGGTTTTCATATTCGAGATCAACAAAGAACGCAAAACCTGATCTTTCAACTAAGACTTTATAACGAATATCAGAGTTCAAATCCAAATCCACTAAGACTCTAACAAAGTGGCCAAACGAACTTTCAAAGCAGCACCTATTAGATGCAGAATCAGTACATAGTGGAATCCCCACACTACTTGCAATTGCAAATATGATTTTCGGCCTCCAGTACTCCTGCGACAATCCATGGATGCGAATCCACACTTGAGATGACGATTGCTTAAGAAAGGAAGGGTTAAAGTCCTTTGTCCATGGGAACAACTTAAGGAAACCTGAGTTTAAGTTCCATGATGAAATGGACCTTACACGCCTGAACATCTTCAAGAGTGGAAAAGAATTCGTAATACCCTTTACCAAGGGATGTAATACCCCATTTCCCAATAGATTTCCAAAGATTCAAAAGTTTAGTTTTTAGGTTTTGGACAGTCAATGGTGTGGATCCCTTAGGCCAAATAATCCTACCGTGTAGGTTGTGTTTGCAAGACTCCACACCCAGCAGATACTCCTCCTCCGAAATAACAATGGACAAATGGTCCCCTTTAACACAAGGCTTTGGTAGCTGACTTACCGGAATATCGCAGACGTTATTCACCGCATCAGCAAACGACTTAGGAGGTTTGGATGAGGACGCCATCAACTCTTCGTGCGCTTTCAGCTTCACTCGTGAACATTCATCTTCAAGATCTAAAAACTTCCACGGAACAATAGGTTCCCTCATTACGGAATCTCTGTCCATTTTGTCGAACACCTTATATGCATCATCCAAAACACATTCCACCGGAAGTTTGTAGCAATCTTCTTTCACCGGAATCCTTGGAGTTCCTATTTCGAGAGTTGCAATCTTCTCTGGGTATGTAGTTGATTTAGTTTGCAGCTAGTCAAATTGAAGATGAGAGCCTTGTTGGTAGAACTCCAAGCCAAACCACCTCTGAAATAGAAGTTCCAGACCAACACCAACACGGCGGCGACAACACCAAGAACGTGAACAACGTACCCCGTTCAATTCAATGTATTGACTTCACATTTTCTTAAGTTTCTTATTTGTAGAAAAAAACATAAAAAACTAACTCGTTAAAAAAAATAACTTAAGGACCCGGACAATATTTTTGTCAAAAGATTTATTAACATTTGCTTATATTTAAAATAAAAAAAATTTTAAAAGATTTTTAGTTATAAATAAGGCCGAAGGAAGTATATATATATTTTTAAATTGTTGATTTGTATCATAATAAAGTTTCCTTGTGATTGTTACTAATATAACTTTATTTAATTTTGCATGAATTGTAAACAAGATTCACATTATTGATGGCAAGGAAATTTTGAAACTAGATTTCACATGGAAGTGAAGTTACTAATGCACAACCAAAATACTGAAATAGACAATAATGTTTTACCAATCGACAAGGTTTCCCATATATGTTTTCCTTAACCCTGCTAACTCTATATTCCCAATGTCACTTTCATCCTAAACACTGCCTCATCTATGCAACTAAAGTAAGCATGCCTCCAATCTTTCTTCAACAACAAAACTCCAATTACAGCCCAAAAGCCACTACCAAATCCAAGTGCTACTACAAAGTAAAACCATAATGTCTCTGCCTTATCATGTTTACCATCACCATCATCATCATCGTCATCATCTTTATTATCAACATCACAAGGATTCAACAATGGTGCACCACAGAGAAATTTGTTGCCAACATAAATAGATGGATAGTCATTAAATGTTGGAAATTGGTTTGTTTGTGGAATTGGTCCTGAAAGATTGTTGTAGGACAAATTTAGGTGACTTAGGAAAGTTAAGCTAGACATGGTGTATGGAATTGGGCCTGAAAGCTGATCATGAGAGAGATCCAAAGATTCAAGTGATCTCATATCTCCTATGATTACAGGAATTTCTCCTGATAAATGGTTGTGTGATAGATTTAGGCCTCGTAAAGCGGTAAGAAGAAATATTCCTATAGGAATAGGTCCACTCAGATTGTTATTTGAGAAATCAACATTAGCCATCAGTTTCAAATTTTTTGTATAATGATCTTCTCTTCCTTTAATGATCTGGCTGACATCTTGTTCATACCATTCCAAATACTTTGGATCTTCTGGAGATAAAAGAACTGATGAATTCCTTCCTTGGATCATTGCTGTAAGATTTCCAATGCATTGAGGTATTGAACCCGTCAACATGTTGTTGGAAAGGTCCAAGATTTGCAAAGCTGAAAGTTTGCAGAGTTGTGATGGAATGTATCCTTGAAACTTGTTTTGTGTTAATCTCAGAATTTGGATTGAGGAGGAAATGTCTCCAATCCATGAAGGTATAGTTCCTAACATTTGATTATTTCCAATATCTAAGATTAACAGTTGCTTTAAGTTCTTCAAGAATGACGGAAACTCCCCGTGAAGACTGTTATTATTCAAATGTAACCATGTCAAATTGGAGAGATGACCAAACGCACTTGGAATAACTCCTGATAATTTGTTAGATGATAGGTCAATCTCATTCAGTGTTTGAGTTGAACTCCAACAATTAGGAATGTTTCCAACTAAATTGTTGTTTGAAAGGTCAAGATTGTACAAAGAGTTTATTTTGCACAATGAATTTGGAATGGAATCATACATGAGGTTCCCTCCAAGAAGCAAGTGAGTAAGATTGGGTAATCTCTCAGCAATATTTTGAGGAAGTGACCCAGTGATATGGTTATCGGTGAGGTTCATATAGGCGAGAAACTTGGGAAACTTTATTTCAGAAAACACATCTTCCAAATTGTTGAGAGACAAATCTAAATTGCGCAGGTTCATGAGTCGACCAAAACTATGAGGAAATTTCCCTATCAAATTATTTTCACTAAGATAAAGGGTGTGCAAGTTTGAAAGTTGACCAATATTTTGTGGGATTGTTCCACTCAGAGAGTTATCTGACATTTCAAGGAAATATAGAGTCCTTATTTGCTCAATACTCTTAGGAATAACACCATAAAAATGATTGGAGGAAATAATCAAGGTATTTAGATTGACAAATTGTCCAATACAATTAGGAAGATACCCTGTCAAATTATTATTGTTCAGAATCAAATACTCTAGGTTTCCTAGTTCTGTTAGACTGCAAGGAAGATCCCCAAACAGGTTGTTATTAGACATGTCCAAGTGACTTAGACTTCTCAGTTTCCCAAGAGAGTTTGGAATAGAACCATTCAAGTGATTGTTAGCAAAGTTTAAAGATTTCAAGTTAGACAAGTTTCCCCAAATATTTGGAATAGGACCATGGAAAAAACTTGACTGAAGTTTAAGGGTTACCAGATTCTCAAGCTGCCCCAACCATGTTGGCAGATGATCATTGAAATGATTGTTGTTCAAGTCCAGTTCCTTTAAAGCATATCCATTGCATCTTGCAGATTGTAAGTTACCGACGAGTGTATCTCCTTGAAGCCTATTTGCAGACAAATCTAGTGACAGAAGATGACACATATTTCCCAGAAATGATGTTAAAGAATCCTCAATATGGTTCAATGACAGATTGAGATACAAAAGACCCTCCAACCCCGCTATCCACGTTGGAACAGATTCAATATTGTTTTGGGGAATGTCAAGCAACGTCAAGGAAGTCAAATTTTGCAGAGCTGGTGGAATTGAGCCAAGAGCATTGTTTCCAAGATACAGAGTTTCAAGTTTTGCACAATTGCCTAACCAAAACGGAACTGAACTAAGATTATTATCGGAAAGGTCAAGAAACATGATTGAAGTGGAGTTTGTAAAAGCATACAGATCAAGACCATCAAGTCTGTTCTCTGCGAGACTGAGAAACTGAATGGTAGAAAGATTTGTGTAACTAACAAGTTGTTGATGATCACTAGCATGGTATATCTTGGTTAAGCTGCAGTTGGTAAAGTCTATTTCTAACAAAGAAGGAATCATTTTGAGAAACATGAATAAATTTTGTGCCCTCCCAAGAAAAACATCATTCAGGTAAAGGTTTTGGAGCATCGAAAGTTTTGAAAGCCAATAGATGTCGTCGGAGTGTAACCAAGAATTATAACTGAGATCAAGAAAGGTTAATTTTGTGAGGTTGGCAAGGTTGTTTGGGATGATGCCATTAAAATGGGAAGCAGAGAGAGAAAGGTGTTGTAAATGGTTCATAGAATGGAACCACGTCGGTATTGGAGATGAATTGAAACTGTTTCCACTAAGGTCCAAATAGGTAAGATATTTGAAATTTGAAAGAGAAGGATGGATATATTGAGCTTCAAGCTTAGAATTTGAGAAGGAACAGTTTGATGAATAAGCTTGTCCTCTTGGTGGGTAGCATGGATTCCTGAGGTCAATCTTGACGACATGTCCGGTAATGTTGCTGCAGCTTATACCTTTCCATCTGCAGCAATTATTTGCTTCCCAAGAGGAGAGTCTAAACGAAGGATCATTAAGGCTTTCTTTGAGTTCAACAAGAGCTTCTCTTTCATGTTGCATGCAAGAATGGACACTGGAACATAGTAAAATGAAATATGCACTCAAAAGGGAAACAAGAGCAAAAGAAAAACTTTGGTAGTTTCTATCCATTTTTTATTCAAGTAGAGATGAAATTGCAGGTGAGCACAACTAAGTCTTAACAAACTCGACTTAAATTGGCATCTCATGTTACTTTTTATTGTTTTATTAATATGTTTGACTGATTCTTTATAAAAGACTATATGATATTTTTATTTTAACCTCAAAGTTTCTTCTCATCATAGAGATTTCTTGTCACTTTTTTTTATAAATTTTTTTAATGTTTGTCTATCAAAAATCAAGTTTATAAAAATAAAAGAGTTTAGTGGATTAAGTCCTCGTTTGAGAGAGGCGAAATCACCTTGACCGGATGGACTGAAGTAGTTTGAGTTCAAATGAAGCAGGATAAAAATAACTTGTTTTTTTTTTCTATTGTCATAATTGTTTTTGAAAACCCCTTACTCAACCCCCCCCCCCCCCCCCCCCCCCCCCCCCCCCCCCCTTCTAAGTGTTTTCCTACCTTCAAGTTATGGTTGCAAGAAGTGAATTTTCTTGGTCAAGTAATCTTCAATAGTGGAATAGCGGTTGGTTTGTCTAAGATAGACGCGATGTTGTAGTGGGAGACTTCTAATTCAGTTATAGAGATCAAAAGTTTTTTGGATTTGGATGGTTACTACAGAAGATTTATAGAGGGATTTTCAAAGTTAGATTTTCCATTGACTTAGTAGACCCGAAATGATAAGCTTATGTGTGGGATGTTTAGTGTGAATAAAGTTTCCAAGACCTAAATAAGAGGTTGACAATAACACCAGTTTTGATCTTACTAAATTCAAAAGAACGTATGCTTCGAGACAGCTGAAGATTCATGAGTAGAATTATCCTACCCATGATTTAAATTTGGCAGCAGTGGTGTTTGTGCTTAAAGTTTATAGGCACTATCTATATTGTTCGAGGTTTGAAGTTTTCAGTGATCATGAGAGTTTGAAATATTTGTTTGATCAAAAGGAGCTGAAGAACACACTAGAGCTTTAGAAAGAAAGTTTTTTTTTTGTCATTTGAAGATCAATTCCTTACCAGAGCATACTGCTTCTTTATTACTTGCAACACATTTTTAGTACACTTGCTAGAAAGTCATAAGTAAATTTCAAGAAGATGTGTATATGATTGTTTCTCCTGATAATAGTACACCAAAACCTAATTAAGTCTTTACGCTTGTCAAATCCCTCAATGGGATAAACAAGCTAACAAGAGATGGAATGAAATACTTACCACTTTTCTCATAAAAAACCATTACAAGCAACCTGAAACAAACCAATCATTATTTGTCAATACCACTCCTTAATATTTCACTATTCTATTTGTTGTGAATAGGATACCTTTAAACAAAGTATAAACGGTTTCTTAATAATCAAGAAACACACAAGGGTTAGGGTTAATAAAGAAGACAAGGTAAAACAACAAGGAACAACAAGGATCGGTTATTAAACTGTTATTCTTTCATTTCTCTTAGACAACTTAGGGTACAAGCTAACTTAAACAATTGGGCTTACAAGTAAGGCCTAATTCAATATGCTAACAACCCTAGCAATATTGACTAATGCATGTTAGAACAAACTTCGACTACAACACGCATTACTCGCGAACAGACTTCGATCATAATAGAGTTCGATCCAACATCTCACAAATCTCCATGTTGGATCTAACTCTATAACATCAAGAAACTAGCTTTCTTTATTTTGATTCCTCATAACTTCCTTATAGTCTCTAGGTTCTTCGTCTAGAACCTCACTTGCAGAGATTAAGGCATAAGCTATAAGATCTGCATACCCAAGTCTCTGAGGTGGCTTGATGACTCTCCTCGACCTGTCTCTTACTAGCAGGTAGTCATTATCACTCTCCTCATCTTCGACAGTATCTTCCGCGTCTTCTTCGACTTCATCTGGGGTACACAATTCAGCATCAACATGCTCCACCTCAACAGGAATTTCTCCCTGTTCCAGCTCTTCGTCAGCATCATTAGTTTTCGTGAAAGTCATCTCTACTTCATTGAAAACTATATCTCGACTGGTGATATACCTCCTGTGACCTGGCTCTAGGAACCATAGCCTATAAGCTTTGACTCCTTTAGGGTATCCCATGAACATGCATTTCAGAGCTCTAGGTTCGACATTGTCATGCCTAATATGAGCATAGGCCACACAGCCAAATACTCTCAGTTTGTCGAGACTAGGTGGATATCCCGACCAAACTTCTTCAGGTGTCTTCATTCCCAAGGCAGTCGAGGGACATCTATTTATCAGGTAAGTTGTTGTCCTGTATGGCGATCTAGATGAAATAATCTTGATAAGGCAACCTAAAAGATATGCAGAAAAGGGAAAGAAAGATTATATGTGCAAGCTGAATAGGTCGTCATATAGCCGCAAACAATCTCCTCGACAATGGAATAGGAGATTCGACAAGTTCATGACATATATAGGTTTCACTAAGAGGCAATTCGATCATTGTGTTTATTTCAGATTTCGACCTAGAAATTCACTTTTATTTTGTTGCTTTATGTGGATGACATCCTCATAGCAAGCAACAACGTCGAGAAGGTTATGAAGGTGAAGGTTGAACTCAATAAGGAGTTCGACATGAAGGATCTGGGAGTTACCTCCAGAATTCTTGGGATTGACATTTATAGAGATAGAAAACATTCGAGATTATGCTTATCTCAATAAACATACCTACTGAAGAATATCGAAAAATTTGGTATGTTGAATTCAAAGCATATTGTAACACCGACTAATCCATAATTCAAGTTAAGTACGACTCAAAGTTCTAGTACTGAAGGCAAAAGAGCCTATATGAATATCATTCCATATGCTAGTATGGTAGGTTCTTTGATGTATGATATGGTCTGTACTAGAACAGACATAACATATGCAATGAGCCTTGTAAGTAGGTACATAGTCATTTCTGAAAAAGTGCACTGAAGATCATTGAAGTGGATTTTAAGGTACATAAATGGGTCTCTTAGTAGAGTCTTGATTTATGGTGGAACCTATGGTGATAATAACAAAGTAGAAATTGAAGGATTTGTCGACTTTAATTATAGATGTTGTATGGATTTCAGAAAATCTATTTCTAGATATGTGTTCCCTATGTTTGATAGAAAAATTAGTTGGATAACAACACTTCAAAAGGTTGTTACCTTATCAACCACTAAAGTGGAGTATATTGCATTCACTGAAGTAGTGAAAGAAGCATTGTGCCTTGAAGGTTTTGCTAAGGAGCTGAAACTTCAAGGTTAATTAACCACTGTTAAATGTACAGTCAAAGTGCAATACACCTATCAAATAATTCAACCTATCATGATCGAACAAAGCACATCGATGTGAGGCTCCTTTTTGTCATAGAGATAATCGAGCATGGAGAAGTCCAAGTGCTGAAGCTTTCGACTGATGACAACGTTGATGATATGATCACTAAGACCTTGTCAAGTGGCAAGTTTTTCACTGTATGCAGCTGACAGGACTATAGATGATAGCTAATTGGTTTTGTGGTTCAGAGTTTGTTCCAAGGTGAAGATTTGTAGCTTATGGGTTATAAGCTAGTGTAGTATCAAACTCTGTCGAAGTGAAAGAGTTAATGTAGTTGTCAAAAAATATGTTAGGTTGTTATCATGTTCCATAGGGATAATATGTTAGACCAATTATTTAGTATTCTAGTTATAAGTTAGGTCTTTTAGTTTTTTTATAAATAACATACTAGTACTCATTTCTCAATAATCCTTGATAATCCTGATAAGAGAGAGAAAGTTGTGTGCTTGAGATTCAATTATAAACATTGTTCCTTAATGTTTAATTGAATCAAGAATCCATGGTTTTAAACCACTTTGAACTGTCGTCCCTTTTCTTCTCTCTTTTTCTTTATTTTGTGGTTTTTTTCCTGATAAAAAAACCGATCATACTCTATTTCTTGGACATTGTTTTCTCAACAGTTGGGTACCATGTGAAATTGTTTTGATGCTAATTCATTTGTTAAATTAATATGTTTGAGAACATGGTGAACTTGATGAGTTTGAGTATTTGAAACGTTTGATAGATAAGAGAATTTTCAATCGATGATACGTATAACTTTCATATTATGTTGTGTTTGTATGTATTGATGTATTGTGTTGATTGAATGTTGAAATTATTCAATATTATATGTATTTGCTATGTAACATTTGCGTTTTGATGAAAATAGTTGTTAAATATAAGACTTAATATATGTAAGAGTTGATGATTTATTTACAATGCGGATGGAAGCGGATGGATTATTGTAAGTAAAATTGTAAGTAAATGGGTTATTGTAAAATATGTGAATTATCGTACGTAAAATTGATGCATTTGTACATAAATTTTGGTATAAGATATATTTTGTATGTAAGTGATGAACATACTATCGGTGTAAGTATCAGGTAAGTGATGAACATACCCTATCAGTGTGACGTTGTTTGACATGATCATTGTGTGATAGAGAAAATAATTGAATATTTGTTTATATAATTTTTTAAAAACTCCTAATCATAATTCAATTATGATTCTCTATCAAATGGAAGAATTTAACATGTCAATTGTATATAACTAAGAAATAAATATTATTTATTTAATATTATATTATTTTATGGAGGGTTATATTGAGGATATTATAGTCTTAAGTTATTGATGAAGTTTATGACTACTTGTGTAATATCCTCAATATTAATCAAATTAAAGTCTCTTATTTTTTCATTGCACATAACATATACTTTTTCTCAAATGTGTGTAGTTATCATTATAGCATTTGAGTTTGGAGTGAGTTAGTAAGATGCTGTATATAATCCTATATTCTGTTTAAAATTATATGAATTTGATCTCATTCAAATGATGGTGAATCTTTTATATGACCATCATACTCTTTCATGTGAAATCATTTAAATAATGACATATTCTATTTATGTGCAAAATATGTGGTTGAGTTTGTAAAACTCCAATGATGATATATAATAGAACCACTTCTTTGTATAGTTTTGCACTAAAAAAATTTGTATCCCATTGTATAATCAG